ATGAGCCACTTCCCCAAGCCGGGAATGCAAAGGATGCATAGTAGAGAACAAGAACGCCCTCCGAAGGAAATGCACCAATTCGGCTCGTGAAGCCGGTGCAGTGCAGTGCAATATTGCGATATGTGCAACAACATGAAACGCTTGCTCTTGCGCCTCCATCGATAATGCCTCCATTCAAATAGAGGCATTATTGAGACTGCTGCCACTCCGTATCGTCGGCCAGAAAATGTGAACATACTGCTCTCCTGACTGCTCGAACTGCAGGTGTGCACAGAAGCAGTTGCTTCAACGGAACCAATGCTGATGCTGGAGGACGCCTGCCACATCTATAAAACGCTAAAGCGCTCTGCAAGAGTCGAGCGAAAAGAATATTTTGCTGCGCCACTTCACGCGAAGCACCAGATTCATTCGGGCCCGTGTATACTGGAAGTGTGTCAATGACCCGTTCCCACCATTCTGAGCGCCTGGCGGCTGGGCCTAGTACTTCGCTGGCCGCAAATAGCGCATCCGTCACCAGCAAGGCAAATGCAAGTCTCTCCACGACCAATCTGGGTTTCAAACCGCTGATGTCCTCCTTTTCACGATGCACCGCATGATCGACGAGCTCCTCAAGATTTCGCATTAGACGTTCTAGGCCGTCTGAGTCCAGCACGGGCTGCTTCATAAGTTCTCTAATCCTCAGCAGTAATCTTCCGTCAAAGAACCTTTTCCGGCGAAGCGGCTGCCAGAATGTGAGTTTTATTCCCCTCACGGAAGCGTAGCGTGAGGCTCCGGGTATCCGGTAGAAGGGATGTGTTGTGAAGTCTACTTCACGCGGAATCACATCTGCCGCTGATTTACCTGATATAGGGGTAGAGAGGAGAATCAAAGCTGGCCTTCCCTAGCGAACAATTCGATGGACACGGCACACAGTTGCTCAGAAATACGCACTCCAAACGCAAATATATGACGGAAAAGGAATGGCACACGGAGACAATCTAAGGTGGACAGGTGCTTGTGCAGGGTATGCTATGCGACACTATGCATCTGCTTGCAGATCTCAGACCCTTCCCATAAGTTTCTGGACAGTCTGCATGTGCGTGCTCCCGGTTTCTGGCTTCACAGAAACGCTAGCTGCTCTCCGTCTCTTGTCTCTAAGAAAAGGTTGGGCCGGTGCACTACAACACGTACGACAGCGCACCTGCAAATTGGAAACCTGGCTACCCAAGAGCATATAGGATCCCTTGGTGCCCGGCTCGCCCACTATGTACTTGAATAGTACACTCTTTTTGCTCGCGGCTTCCGCGGCAGGGGAACCTTCTGGTTGTAGGATGGCGCCGTGAGCACTTGGCTGGGTGTCTGAAGACGGGGACATTGCCACCGAGGACGCGGTACTGCTGTGGGGCGAACCTTCGACTGGTGAAGTGCTACCGGCGGTATCCTCTCCCGGTCGAAGTGGTGGCGCAGCGGTAAGCCCAAAGGTGCTGGGATCAGCGGGAGAACCTGCGGCGGCGGACTCGCCTGTGGAAAGCGACTGCGACGGCGTTTCCTCGTCTAAAAATTGCATTTCGATGTAGGGCTGTAGCAGCCAGTCTTCTGGTTCTACACCCTCATCCTTGTCCGCCAACGTCTGCTCGACATACCGCAGGATTGACTGTCGGAGCTCTTCAGCAGCACCTCCCGCTCCGGCCTCTGCCGAAATCCCGACAGCACGTGAAGGGCTAAGTGACGTCTCTAGTTGGACTTCTAACGCTTCCTGCTTCTTTTTTTGGGGCGGTTCCTCGCTACCCTCGCCCCAACCTGCCAAGGGAC